AAAAAAAAGTTTTAAATTAAACAAAGTAAATTAGCATTGTTTATTCGCTTTGCTTCAAACATGTCTTTGGTCTCTTCAAAACGTGCAAATCAAATATAGTCATTTATGACTAACACTATGGTCATTAAATAAGGAAAAATATGACATTCTAATTACTTTTCAAATTGTGCATAATGCACGCATTGAAAACAAGCTCAAGAATGTGCCCAAATTTTATGAAAGGGCCAGTATTCTTTCTCTTCTAAGAAGTGCAAAATCAAGAAAAAACTTTCAAAGCTGGAGAATCCGGGTTATCGATCCCGGTACTCTCGCATGCTAAGCGAGCTCTCTACCATTTGARTGACGCCTTTTATTGTCTCTAAAGATCGTTCTTGATTACAACTTCTTCTTCAACTATGTCAATCTAGTTGCCGCAATGCCTTTTTGAACAAGAATAAAAATATAGAACACAGTGCCCCAGTGGAGGCATGTGAAGTGTGGAGTCTTTGCTAAAATCAAGAAAATGGATCCAGTTTTTTAAGAAACCTGCAAACACAGYAGCTTTCTAATGCTGAGGAAGAACTTCATGTATGTAAATGGCCCCAAATTGTATAAAACGCGTTCTCTCTTTACTARAAAGTGAAATATCATGAGCAAAATTCCAAAAATTGAGAATCCGGGTATTGATTCCGTTGCCTCTCGTATGCTAAGCGAGCGCTCTATCATTTGAGCTAATCCCCCAAATGTTGATTTACAGTTTCTTCGTCTCTAGAGACCGATCTTGATGTCAACTCCTTCATTAGGGACTGTGCAGCAGAAAATTAGTCAGTACCCCCCCTCCGAAGCGTAAGAAAATAGGTCTTACCCCCCCTCTGTTATATTAGAAATAACGTCGAGCCCCCCTAACTGTTAACTTTAGTTATAAAACAAGCACAAGCGAGTCGACTCAACTATAGCAACCCAAAATTCACTAAAGACGAACCCAGATGCAATAGGTGGCTTACTCGTCTGGACCTAGTAAGTACAAAGACAAAAACTTTCAGGAGGAGCTGAATTTGTTCCTGGGAAATTAAAGGGATTTTACATTGGCTATATTGGCTACATTGTTGAAAATCTCACAAGCAAATGTAGTGCCCTTGATTCTTTCAAAAMTTTTTGTTCCTGGCAAAGGTTTTCACGGTCCAAAAAAGGCCTATGTAACTTTTTTTTAGTCAAAAACGACTTTGATATTACTTGTGCTTGTTATGTGTAATAAATCATCAATATGTTTTTCAGCTKMTACATCTTCAATTTATGTGAAAACTACATCCTCAATTTGTGACAAATTTGAAAAAATCAATAGTTGAAAAAAATTCATATATCTTGGTCAATTTCAATCCCACATTCTCCAATTCTATGTGGGAAACATAGCAAATTAGAAGCATCTTTTGGTAATTGTTTTGAGTGCTTATGATTGGACAACATCTTTTAATACAAAAGAAACTTTGTTTCAAAACAGAGTTTATCCACATTTTATTTTAAAAATGTGTTACCCATAGGTTGATATATAATCAGTGTGAAGACCAAGACATTCATATGTGGTAAAGTTGCAATTGCCGCAGAACAATAGAAAGTTGCCTACTTTTTGCGCGCATTGTTACTAAACTCTCTATTGTGGATCAGTTTTTTGGCATCAAAGGAGAGATGACCAAGAATTTGTCATCAAGATCGATCGATATCTAGAGATAAAAA